ATGTCCCTCATTGATATATTTTGATTTATATTTATTTCTAGTGAGGTTTCTTAATGATTTTCTTAAATATTTAGAGAGATAGAAGAATTTTTCAAATTTAATTCAATCAAAGGAAAATAAAATTGGGTTAAATAGAATAGGCATCAAATTGAAATCAAATTAATAAATTATTAATAAAGAAGTTGAGCACATTAAAGAAGAGATAATATTTGAAAGAGATAAATCCATTATCAAAAATTAGGTAATTTAATTTATACAACCATATCATAATTAATAGGGATAGAAGAAAAAGATTTGAGGGAAAGTATTACTTAAGATATATTATCTCTTAACAGTGAAAGATAAACACAGTTGAGCTTAAACAAACTCGAAAAAGGGTTTAATAATAAAACTATTCTTTAAGAAACAATGTATTATCGAAAAATCTTATATTTATTATAAAGTTAATTTTGTTTACTTTTTCTTTAAATAATTTCCAAATTTGCTCAATTGATTTAATTACAGATACAAAAAGAGAAAAAATGAGTTGGTGATAGAGAGATTTGTTGTAGAGTATTTTAGGAGTTAATACAATAATTTAATTTATGTTTGTATTGTTCCCTGAAAAAGGGTGAAATAATAATAATAATAGTTAGTAATATTTGGGTTAAGCCTCTTAAAGTGAGTACAATTGTGTTAAATTTTGTAAAATAGGTATTTTCTATTATTTATGATCTACTTAAAACTTAGGGAATAACTACTTCGGTTAGCAGAAAGAATAGCATATAATCATTTCGGCTAGATACTTATATATAGAGATATTTCCTCTTAAATCTCCTGGATTGAAGGTGGAGCAAAGGAGTCATAAATTAAAAAGGGCTAGAAGGATAGTAAAGTCTCTGCAAATAAAAATAATTTAGTTGGCTTTAATAGCCTCTATAAATTTGATTAGCCAAATAGGCAATTCTTCTTTATTATATTTACAAGATTCTTTATGATTAAAGTAAAGATTAAAGATGATAATGTTAAAAATTCATTCTTAGCACTAATAATCAGAAATTTACAGTAATACTTGGTAGGTTTAGAATATCACTACAATTAACAGAAACAAACCTATTATGCAAGCCAGTACCAATGCTTCAGGAATGAGTACCATACTTTACTTAATTTTGATAGATAATGTAACTTTGGGAAGAGCTCAATTTTTGTTTCTCATTACTTAAAGGCAAATAAATATACCAGCAATTTAATTTGATAGTAAATCCGTAATCTTTCTATAAAAAAAATTTCAGAATGGAAATTTACATTTTGGATAAGAAGCTAATAACTATTATTTGTAGTTATCTCTTATAAAATTATAGAAATGTTATCAGGATGAAGTTGATTTATTGGTCTTAAATTTATTTCATGAAAATCTCTCATATTTCATTAGTTAAGAATAAATAATATCAATAAATAATTTTTAAAAGAAAGCCAATGCTAAATATTGAAAGTTTGGATGAATTATAAATATTTAAAAATCTTAATGGCATATTAATAACTAGAAAATCTTCAGAATGATTAGAATTAATTCTTATTTGAGATTTTTTTGATAAAAAAATAATAATTTAACTTTTATAAATATTTTTTAAATTAAAACTCAGCCATTGAAAACATCCTAATTGTATGTAACCAACGAAGTGTTTTGCTTTCATATATCTTATACACAACAATAATTAATTAAATTTTTATAAAAATAGATCAACTTAAACAAAAATTAAATCCATTACTCAAAAGAAATATCCTAAAAAATAATTGATACGAGTTATTTTAAAATGCCTTAATATTTGAATGAGTCTTATATTGAGAATTGTAAAACCTTATTTAAAAGGTATCTGCCCTATAAATCCAAAATAAATTTACATTATATTAAATTAAAAGTAATATATTTTCGTAATTAAAATAACCTTAAATACAAATGAATATTTGCTAAAATAAACATCACAGGTTAAATTGTTGAAGCAAAACAAATAGAGTTTAAACAAAAATATTTTGCAAAAATGTAATATTCATATTTTCAATTAATAATGAAATCAAAATATCACATAGTCTTAATTGCTCTATGATGTTTCTATTTCTCTATATGTCATTCCTTCAATTTATCCATCTTCATAAACTTCTCTGTATGCCATACCTTCAATATGATTTTCTTCTTAAATTTCTTAGTCTTCAATCTCTCTGTATCTCATTCCTTCAATTTATCCATCTTAATAGATTTCTCTATAAGCCATGCCTTCAATATGATTTTCTTATTAAATTTCTTAATCTTCAATCTCTCTATATCTCATTCCTTCAATTTATCCATCTTAATAGATTTCTCTATAAGCCATGCCTTCAATATGATTTTCTTCTTAAATTTCTTAGTCTTCAATCTCTCTGTATCTCATTCCTTCAATTTATCCATCTTAATAGACTTCTCTATAAGCCATGCCTTCATTATGATTTTCTTCTTAAATTTCTTAGTCTTCAATCTCTCTGTATCTCATTCCTTCAATTTATCCATCTTCAGAAACTTCTCTGTAAGCCATGCCTTCAATATGATTTTCTTATTAAATTTTTTAATCTTCAATCTCTCTATATCTCATTCCTTCAATTTATCCATCTTAATAGATTTCTCTATAAGCCATGCCTTCAATATGATTTTCTTCTTAAATTTCTTAGTCTTCAATCTCTCTGTATCTCATTCCTTCAATTTATCCATCTTCATAAACTTCTCTGTATGCCATGCCTTCAATATGATTTTCTTCTTAAATTTCTTAATCTTCAATCTCTCTATATCTCATTCCTTCAATTTATCCATCTTCATAAGCTTCTCTATAAGCCATGCCTTCTTTTTGTTCATTAACTGTATTCTGGAAATTCAATAATATTATTTACAATATTAAGTTTCTTTAAAAATGAATCATTCTGAGACTCAGTTAATATCAATTTCCTATCCGTTGTGTTTATGGCAACACTAATTGCACCTAAAATTAGAGTTATAGCAACAATTATCTTTGTTTTCTCCATCTGAACAATTAATATTTTTGATGATGTAATTAATATTAATTTAATATATAAATTCTATAGAATAATTATAGGAATCACCAAGAAGAGTTTTGTGAAAGATTATTTATATGAAAAAAGTTTAATACTCGTAATAAATAAGTTAGAACTATAAATTAAAATATATATTTATATCCCACCCAAAAACTTCTACTTTATTATATAAACAATAGGATTTTAATCAGTTCTATAAAGATTTAATTAACAGATAACAATACAAATACACAATATTATCATAATTTAATTGAATATTTAACTTATCTTTTTTGAAGCTATTTCAATGTTTTTCAGTAGGGTACTAGGCTGCTATCTATTTAATTGGAAAGCATTTTTCTGTAACAGTGATTCAATATTCTAATAAGTTAAATTAAATACATCATCACTATCTTAATCCTATCGTTTTCTCTTTAATTTTTTTAATAGTTAAGACATTACTTATTTTCTATCAGCAACTTAATTTTCTATCCTTTGAAAAACTGAAAACAGTTTTTCTACTCAAAGAAATTTCAAACGATTTTCAAGTGCTATAAAAAAATTTGTAACCTTAAATAATCAAAAGGTAATCCAAATATTGATCATTCTCAAAATATTATTGAAATGCTTCATTATTTCCATCTAATTTAAATAATATCATAATATTTTGGTCATCCATTTTTATCATAATATCTTTAACGATAAATCCTAAGTTTATATATCTTTACTAAAAATCTCTTTCCTATTCAGAATAGAAACTAATCTTTTGCCACTTTCCAGAAACATTTAGTAATTCGTACAATTGATTGCAGCTGATGATATATCATACATATTAAAGTTTTTCTCACTAGTGCAATATACATCGATCTAACAGAACCTACAAATTTATTTACATCTCATATTGAAAATTTATTCTAACATATAATAATTAGATTTATGAAAATAACATATTATCTCAGTTTTTAAATCTGAAATAGAATTTTTTTATTTACAATAATATTAAATTGGAATGTTAATTTATTTTTTATATATATATATTTTTAATATTTAATGTATTTCACGATATATAAAATCAAAACGTTCATAATCTTTATCAAATTTTAGAGGAAATAATAGATATATAACAGTAAATTGAATTCGCCTATCAATTGATCAAAAAGGAGAGAAAAAATATTTAAATTAATTTTAGTTAATCATTAAGGAATTAAAATCATTTTCTTAAACTCAATTTCCATTTCAAAAACATAACTCATTTAAT